AAAGGCAGAAACTGCTTCTCCCCCTCAACACACAGACCAGCTCAGCGGGTAAAGGTAGTTTTCAGTGGTATCTTTTGTCTGCTTCTAGGAGTAATCTTAGCACTTTCAAACTTTTTTTATTTTTCCTTGTTCTCTTTGCATCCCTTAGCAATTAATAAAATCAGTCTTTCGTATCCACAGATAACTTGTGTGAATTTCAGTTTTGCTCAAGAGAATTTTGAATCTGAAGTTCTTTCTGCAATATTTAGGCAGATTATAACAGGGGCAATGGAAAAGTGGGAGGAACCAGGAGAAGGGTGCAAAAGGGATAGGATGGTCTGGCGGCTCCAATGGTCCCATGGGGGTCTTCGGGCACAAGGGAATTGGGAAAGGGGGGTGCTACCCCTGAGCTCCTAACTTACTGTGGGGTACTGGGGGCTGCTGGATCCAAACTCAGCCTTGGATTATGGCAACAGTTTCAATTAGGAGGAATTACAGAGGTGGGACTGAACCATTTTTGTCCCCCAGGTTTTAACGATGGTAAATCAAATCTATTGATAGAAATGAATTATTTAGGGTTACAAATGATCAGACAAAAGATCTTCATCCGAATTATTTACTGCACAATACAAACACTAAAACTACCACTAGTACAGCATAAGATACGACAGTGCTCTACACTAAAGCAACTGTTGAAGCAATTCTACTCAAGCTGGCACCAAAGCAAGAATTATTCATTAGAGATGGATGGAATTCCACCAGACCAATACTCGTGGGGAGATCTCTGCTCTCAACCTCCAGCAGTGGCCTTGGGGGGTCCCAGTCAAGGCAGGAATCTCCACATATCCCCCAAGAAGGGTTCTGTAGCACAACCTGCCCCTGGCAAAAGGGACTGGCCCTTTCTGGTAGAAAGGGGTAGACTGACAGTCACTGGACTCCAGGGGTTGCCTCATCATCAAGGGGGTCATTCGGGGTGGGAGCAGCAGCCGAAGCTCTTGTAGGGTTTTTCTTACTGGTGGGTCCGTTGGTGTTTGGTCAAGTGGGAGCTGTTGGTGAAGCTCTTCCCACACTCCCCACACTTGTAGGGCCTCTCCCCGGTGTGGATGCGCCGGTGGATGACAAGAGTGGAATTCAGGTTGAAGCCCTTCCCGCAGTCGGTGCAACGAAAGGGTCTCTCCTCCGTGTGTGTCCGCTCATGCACGAGGAGAGTGGAGCTGCGCTGAAACCTCTTCCCACATTCCAAGCACTTATAGGGCCGTTCCCCGGTGTGGATGAGCTGGTGGGTGCAGAGGCTGGAGCTGTTCCTGAAGGTCTTCCCACATTCCCCACACATATAGGGCCATTCCCCGGTGTGGATGAGCTGGTGGGTGCAGAGGCTGGAGCTGTCCCTGAAGCTCTTCCCACATTTCCTACACGTGTAGGGCCGTTCCCCAGTATGGATGAGGTTGTGTCGGATCAGGGTGGAACTGTCCCTGAAGCTCTTCCCACATTCCCCACACGTGTAGGGTCGTTCCCCAGTGTGGATGTGCTGGTGCCTGAGAAGGTTGGAGTTGCTCCTGAAGCTCTTCCCACATTCCCCACACGTGTAGGGTCGTTCCCCAGTGTGGATGTGCTGGTGGCTGAGGAGGTGGTTGCTCTGCCTGAAGCTCTTCCCACATTCCAAGCACCTGAAGGGCTTCTCCCTGCTGGGAGGCTGCTCAGGGACCACCAGCTCGGAGCTCCGGCTCAAGCTCCGGCTGCCCTCCTGGCACAGGACGGCTCTTTCCTCCTCACAGCTCCCTGGGCTGGCTTTGCAGCCCCTCCTCCGGGGGCATCTCCGGGCCTTTTCCTCCCCGCTGCCTTCCTGCGCCGGGGAGCCCTTCAAAACGGCCTCTCCCACCAGGCTCTGCCGGGGGGATTTGTCCTCTGTGCTCTCCGTCCTCAGCTCGGGGCCTGGGGCAGGAAGGAAGAAG